TATATATATATATGCAGAAAAAGTATGTATATATATATATGCAGAAAAAGTATATATATGTGCAGAAAAAGTATATATATATGCAGAAAAAGTATATATATATACAGAAAAAGTGTATATATATATATACAGAATATATATACAGAAAAAGTATATACATATATATATACAGAATATATATACAGAAGTATATATATACAGAAAAAGTATATATATATAAATATAAATATAAATATATATATATATATATATGCAGAAAAAGTTTGACTTGAAAAATGGATTTTCATCGAACGAGTTCGTTTTTACGATCAGACTCGGTAGCGGGAAATTCGAACGCACCGTATAGTACTAATATGCATATAGTATAATGCATGTGGCGTGTAGTATACAGATGGACATATTCGGGAGTGAGGAACCGGTCTTCCACAGAATCGCGCGAAACTCACAATGGATGGGAAGGCTGAAGGCAGGACTCTTAAAACGCAGAGGGTGGAAACGCGCGCCGGATCGAGAACGTTGCCATTTAAAACAGGGACTTGTGTCGTTTGTAACCTTTCACCGGCCGTGTTACTTCGGGTGGTTGCTCGCGTGTCAATTACATTCAAGTGTCATTCTTCCCTGCCGGCAGGGATCCTGTTATGGTAATTATGGGCTCCCGTTTCTTACTTTCCCTCGTCTCTTTTTATATTTCTCCTCCCTCCTCGAGCTTTCTCTGCTTCGTCGAGCGACTGGTGTCACGTGTTACGTTTTTCAGGTATCGTCGAGTCAAACGAGTGCGTAGATTAGTGGTTGAAAACGGCTGACAAGAAGCCGCTGATGATCCGCGTAGAAATATAAATTGAAAGCGAATGAAACGACGAGATGACAATGATCTCTCGAGGGTAGGTATTGTACGTAGTTGTAACGATACAATGTAATTACCCAAGTGCAACAACGTCGAAAAATAAATGGCCATACGAATAACGAGTATTTCTTCGTCAGTTCTTTCTCTCTCTCTCTCTCTCTCTCTCTCTCGGTGGGTGGAAAAGAGAAAGAAGGAGAAAGAAGAGAAAAGTTCGAATGTGGGTGTCCAAGGTCTTCAGCTTGCCATTTATGGATGTATGCAAAACCGGACAGAAAGAAGAGAGAGAAAGAGAGAGAGAAAGAGAGAGAAATCTGAAATGCGAAAAGAAACGAAAGAAG